GGAGTTTAGCATGAAAGGTACAATGCTTGATCACCACTGGCATTTTTCGTTAAAATTATTATAACTCGTTTTTATTGCCACAACACTTGTAGAGTGATGAGTGGGCTCATATTTATCAGAAAAGTCTAATCTTACTTGTAAAAGGACTTCTCGATGGGAAGTGAAAACAATTCAGGGTCACAGACATGAATCGAAGAGATATTTGGTAGGAGAAATCGGCATCAATACCATTGGTTTGTGACGTATCCGACGCTATTGCCTAAAAGACAATTTATTTTGATTGTCGTTATTTTTCTAGTAATCTGAGTTTTCATGGTGCAAAACAAATCCCAAACTTCGTATGCCAGGACCTATTATAACAAAGATTCAACTAATAAATACTTAGTTTTGATACTATATTTAACTGTGAAAGCAACAGTAATTTTACAACTAACGGAATATCCGTTTTTAAGGTTTGAGTAAAGTATTAAGTTAAGACACACGTATATCTTTTGACCGTTTGCAGTATATGCAGATCATGCGCATCTGATTTCGCATGGTATCCTTTTTACCAAGACACGTTTGAAGATTATATTTTATAAGATAGGATGTATGAAGTGATGCAGTTGAATTTGAATAGTACCTAGCGATGGGCAAATTAATACTTCAACAAAAATAGATTCAGTTGTTGAGGACTCGCTACCCTAACGGTATCTTTTCAAGGTTAATTATAACTAGCGTGTATTAGTTAATAAGATGACAAAGGTGATAGAATTCTTCTGTTATTCTTTATCCAGTTTGTCAACCAGGAGTGAAACATTTATTAACGAATTTGGGGAATTGAAATTGGTGACTTTCGTTCTATTGTGGCGAAGTTAAACAAATGGGCCTTCATATGTTTGCTTCTATAGAATAAGTTGCAGAGGCGAGCCGGTTTAGACTTACTCGTTATGTTATTTACTGCTATTATCTAGACTCTGTGATATAAGAACTGAATTTAAGTGTTTACTAACCGTTGTCCCTTGGTGATTATTGTTCAAAACACTGGTTGTAAAGAATTTTATTTTTGAGGAAATACATGTTATTCTCACGAACATGATCAACATGTTATTACAAATATGACTTCAGTATGGTTGTTAAAATTTCAAAGTATTTAATAATTAGTTTTACAAAGGAAGGCATGTTAGAATATAGCATTCAGGTATTGAAATCTTTGTAAGATAATACTATGCATGGAGCAGATATTTGTCGAAGAGGAAGGCTTGTAGAGCACTTACACTTTTCGGTCATCTATTAGACGTATGGTATGAAGGTTATAGACTTCAGTGAAAGAAGACTATCAACGGATAACACAGATGAATAAGTGGGATTGCAAGACATGATACTTTCTCGGCACGATATGATGCACAAAAAAGGGATGGTGTGGCAGTATACATTTGCTGTCACTTCAAAGCTTCGAAACCACAGGGTAATGAACCAAATGAGATAGGAGAATCAAGCATGTGTTGCTTCAAGGTGAGCGGCGCGGCCTACCTGACTGGTCGAATACATCGCCCCCTCTACATGTTCTACTACTCGAGAAGATAAGATAGCATAGGTGATACTAAAGTTACCACACCTGGGTTCCAACCAAATACTACTAACTGGATAACTGCAATCCTGCATCACTAATACTCAACTAGTAGGGTACAATCCTATGAAGTTGTTCTGAAAGAGCCTTCCCTAAACCAGTAGAAGTTCAGGACCGGCGGAACACGTGGGTAGCGCCACGATAGAAAACATACGGAAAAACCTCATCCTTGATTTACTTACCGGTAAATGATCGGTTTCTAGTTCAGGACTTATACGTCCACGCACTAATTGTAAGTATTGACCATGACACAGACGCGTTGACGTGACCACAAACTGGATACTTAAAAATGATGGAGTCGATTCCTGCATTAACTATACGAAGGCAGATACACAGCCATGAGAGAGCATATACAACATGCCCCATGGTTGTAGAATTATGGTCTACTATGATAGTACTGCGCTAATGATAGACCTAATCCTAAAATTGTAGACTTGTCATGATATAACTGCTTAATCTATAAGATCTTACGTAGAAGTCATTACATCGTCTACACCAACTACTCGTATCGTAACAATCACCAATACATGATGTAGAACAAGCTTAGGCTAAAGACAGAACAATATATTTAATATGAAAAAGAGATATAAGGTAACATTTAATAGGGACCACGCCTGTATGGCCGAGCCATGCCATTCGATCAACTCCAATTCATTCAATACATTCTTCCCGTCTTCTCCATCGTTAGGTATCTCTCTGCACTAAATACTGAATATCTATTTTCCGAGTTGTCTCGTGTTCAGGTTTGAGGATTGTATGATTATGGTCCAATGCCACTAAATGATCATGAGCGGTGGCGGCTATCAGTGAATGACAACTAGGAGAAAGTAAGAGACATCACTGATAATACCATTCAACACAATGTGCCTTACGTAAGCGCACATGTGGATAACAAAGATTCTGGGTTGAGTGAGCCACAGAAAGTTTGCTAAAAACCAAACGAAGAGCCTGGCAACGTCGTAGTTCTCGGCGATAGATGTTTTCAAGCCACGCTAGCAGCCACAACGCAATCTAACTTCAAATATCACTGTATCTTCATGATCAGGGGATAGACATCAAACCAGGGGATCTGTACTCTTAAAGGGAAAAATGGTTAAGATCTCACTAGCTGTAATATCGGGAAAATTTTAGTGCCAAATTCATAGACCAACTAAACCAGGGCTTACAAACGCGAAACACCTTTTAACTCTAATGCCAGTTGATGCTCTGGGTGATAGTCGACCATTTTCCAGGTTTGTATTAGATAGACTAAAATCCCCGAACCCAGGAAAGTCGATAGGATGTGACTAAATCCGACTAATAATCCTGAAACAGAGCGCGAAACCTATCAGCACACTGTCGGCTGAACCGCTCTCTCGAACATTTCACATTATCAGCAAATAGTAATAAGTCAGATGATATCTGTTGTGGAAGACCAGTTAAATAAATCAAGAAAAGAAGAGGTCCTGGTACTGAACCCTGGGGGGCCTCACTAGGACATTCCATAGACGCAGAGAAAAAGAAGTTAACTATGACCCTGAAATGTCGATGTTTTAGATTTGAAGTGAGCCAGTTAATTAAAGGTGCTTTGATACCCAATCGTTTGAGCTTATTGACAAGACATATATGATTGACCCATTCAAAAGCCTTTTAGAAGTCAAGGTAAATGACTTTACCTAGTATAGCAGAATGAAACATATCCGGGCCAGGAGAAGTGTCTTTATTTACGTGCTGCAGATTCCGGTACACCAAGTCAGCGCTCACGTTCACTTCGGAAAGTCCTGTGCAGTTGCATATGAAGCTCTCATCAATATAGCTAGTGTAGGTCGGTTGAAATGGTCGAGAGTATTGTTCAACCAAAAGGTTAGCGGCGTCACCGTCATTATTGGTCGGGTCACTCGGACCCAGCAGTTGGGAAACCCCAGTTGTGGCTTGTCGAAGAGAGACTGCCTAACGGAGTAAGCTTTTCGGATTGGGGGCAAGTTTATCAATAAGCTTTATCTGGTAACTGAAGCCTGTCTTCCCTTATGGCCTTTGTGTATATGTTACTTATATGTTTGTATTGCCTGTATGCGCCGTTATTATCAGTTCGTTTGCATTCTGCTCAACAGTGCCTTTTGTGGATTAGCGAACGAAGAGTGCGATTTGTGATGACTGTAGAAATAGACTACTTTGTAGCACATAAGGGTGTGTGCAGTAAGAAGTCCCAATAAGCATCCAATAAACATCCTAATCCACCTGTTATAGATAGTCCTGTAAAGCTGACACATTCAACCCATTGAAATTCCAGCTCCTGTTGTTGGTGGGATGTCTTAGCTCAGTTTCACTGATAAAACTGAAGGCTGTGACGGCATGATCGCTTCTCCCCAGAGGAGCCAGAATTGAGAGGTTGTCAACTAGGAATTCTTCGTTTGTATATATACAGTCTAAGCGCGACAGCGTCTGACTGTTTCTCCAACGAGTTGCCGATCTCACACTTTCGAATGATCACAGATCACGAGGTTGAAGAATCGAGCTGCAGTTGAGTTTTCACCACTAATATACATGTGTTCCCCGAAATTGACCTTAGGAAGTTTGAAGTCCGCAGAATCTGCATATGAGGGACTCGATACTCGTAGAGAGGGAAGATTCTTCCAGCATACGGTTGTCGTACTCCACGTTAGCAATGGGCTTCCTGTAGATGACCCCAACTAGACACTCTACGGTGGTATACAATCTTACTGAACACCATACGAACTCGTCAAGATTGATAAATTCTTGATTGTGCATTGGATTTTCCTCCAGGGAGGATCGTAAGCATAAGGATACTCCACCCCAATTCCTGTTTTCTGTCATTGCAAAACAAAGACATCCCATTCTTCGATTTCTTCTTCTTTTAAATTATCACACAATTAGCTTGTTTATTATATGTGAAGCGGTCCTCTTCTCTTAGAAGTCAAATTATCACTTGACTGTTTTTAAACTGCAGTTAACCAAACATTTTGACTGGTAGGGTGCCCTTATAAAAACGCACTCAACTATAAGATACGCAAATCCCTAAATAACTAATAAACTGACGAGAATTAATGCATTCGGGCGGCTGGAATACTACTCATTTGACATAAAAAATACTGGAACCGTACCGGAAGGACAAGAAGCAATCGCAACAAATAGGCTGGTTTATACGCGTCCGTGTCATAGATATTAGATATTGAACCGTCATAGTGATTAGAGTTCCAGCGCTATTTCAAACTGGAGGCTTTTTATTTAGATGTTAGGATTTTATGGTTTGGTGTAAATTCGGATGTTTTGGGCGGAAAAATAAATCTCAAACTGCAATGAACCAAGTGTATATTTGAAATCAGAGTGAGTTATGTATACTTAGAGGAAATACTTTCTATAATTTATTTCATACCAGTCAAAATAAACGAATATGCATGAAGAGCTCAATAAAATAGAATCCTTTCTTAAAGGTGATTCTGCAGTAAATAGACAATTAAGCTCAAAAGCATGGCTCAATATATATGGGTTAAACACCAATAAAATCGATAGGTCATCCGTTTTACAGAACATTGGATTCCCAGTTAGAGGAGGTAAGCTGAAATTTATGAAAATTTCGGAATCTAAAGAATATCATCATTCTCTGGGAAAGTACATTAAATCATGTTACGGTGACAATCTGTTTGTAAGGATGACGAATGATAGGACTGGAGACGTCTATAATGTATGTCAATTTGTGTTTATTAATTTTTCAAGGTTATTGCTAAGAAAGGCTACATTAAACAGCTAAAGATGAAGATTATGCAAGCTGTAGATCTCTATCGCAATCGTCTTACTTGGCTTACTTCTGGGAGTCGATCGATATTTGGTGTTATCCAAGAGCGTTCGGCAGTTTTTCTTTTGGACATTAAAACTCAGTCTCTAGAAATATTCTCCAATTTTGTTAATTCCCTAGGGTATTTGATATCGGAACAGGTAGCAAATATGAGGATGGTCAACATGATCAGGTAACTTTTGTTCTTTTAGCCTGATGTATTAGATGTCAAGTTGAACCTTATTTTTTTTCAGACGAATTGGTATCTGTGGACACCTCTACACTGAAGAATCTGTTAGAGTGGATAAACAAACTAGAACGTCTCTCGCCCTCCAGTTCGAACTGCACAACGGACTGCATTTTAAGGATAGGCCAGTTTAAAAAGGTGGTTTTTCGTCGTAATTTATTTTGCAGCTTATGCACAATTAAGCTTAGACATTGTATAAAACAAAAAGTTCACATTTTATATACTGCAAAGTAGGATGCATTATTCCTCCGCTCATGCCCATTTTTCAGTCCTCAGAAATAAGGCCAGTGGGTCAGCTAACCTGCATTTGCCCATGGTGTTAAATACTCAACTTACCTTTGAAATTTAACTAATGGAGTCATCACAACGTAATGTGACACGTTTTTACAGTTTTAGACCTGAATTTATTCCATCATGGTTTTTAAATGATTGCAGTGGCTGATTCTATGTCAAGCCCACATAGGTCATTCTAGCTTCTGGACAAATCAGTTTATTCATTTTTTTCAAGCCACATTTTGACCTTGCTTATTAACTCGGACTGTTCTTATATGATCGTACGTTTGTTAATTGCTTACCCTACTCATTACATGTCTGTAACTAGTCTTTGGTCTGTCTAAAAATATTGAGTCACATGTGATTAAATTGAGTTAGCTCATTCACCTTCTCCACTGCGCATCACATCGTTTTATTTCACTTCACTTTCGTCAATTTATTTCTCTGATTGTCTATCTGAACTAATCAGTTTATGGAATGTACGTTATTATATTTATTTATTTGAACACATAAATATTAGTACAAGAGAGCGCCAATATATATGCGCCACACAAAACAATGAAAATTCGAGAAAAAAGGTAAGGAGCGTAAAAAAGAGAGAACAATAACGAAGAGATTGGTGTAAGGTAGTGTAGTAACAATAATAGTAATAATGAGGGAACGGAAAGGTACAATCAGAAGAAATCTTTCAGGTAAGGGAGACACAACCACTTTTTATGAAGAAAGTAAAAGAAGGTTACAGCAGGATCGCCACTGGCTTCTATTCTGAGCCATATCTGATAACGTCTCTAGCCACTGTGTAGCACCATCTCTCAGACCCCAACCAGGGAGTCGTGAAGGACCAACACAAGCCAGTCCTTTGCAGCTTTCTTTCATGCCACGACACCATGTCATGCACTGACCACCTCTCCGCTTCTTCCAACCAGTCCCAGAGTCGGCAAATAATGCACGACGTGGAATTCTCTGGGACGACATTCGGAGAACATGTCCAAGCCACCGAAGTCGGTGTTTCAAGATGGTGACACCAATTGATTATCATCTCTGTGCCCGAACACACGATGCCGAACCTCTGCATTACTGACATGGTGTTGCCACTGAATGTCAGCAATCCTTCGGAGACAGCGATGATCGAACACAGAGAGTCGTCTAACGTCCTCAACTCGGAGAGGCCAGGTTTCACAAGCATAGAGCAAAACTGCTCTCACCGACGCGTTGTAGATCCGACCTTTTACAGCCAGACTAACATCACGAAGGCGCCAAAGGTGGCCCAGATTGGCATAAGCCGCTCTGGCTTTCACTATTCGTGCATTGATCTCATCACTCACACCCCCACCAGCACTTATGCAGCTACCCAGATACACGAACTTCTCAACTACGTCTATCTGCTCACCATCCAGGGTGAGTACAGGATTAGAATCCTGCCAGTCTTGTAGAAGTACTTTGCACTTCGAAGGTGCAAAGCACATACCATACCTACGGACACTGATTGCCAACTGATTAAGTGCGGATTGCATGCCTTGGGCATTATCGCACAGTAAGACAATATCGTCCGCATACTCAAGGTCGAGAAGTCTTTCTCCAGGCAACAGATCCACACCACCATTACTTACATTCATCAGAGCTGTTTCCAGAATGTCATCGATGGCAAAGTTGAAGAGGAATGGTGAGATTGGGCAACCCTGCCTAACCCCACTGCTCGAATGGAACAATGGAGAGAGGTGGTTGTATGCCCTCACTCTGCCTGAGGTGTTTTTATATAGGGCTTTTAGGATGTTAATAAACTTCTCAGGCACACCCTTCTTCAATAGACAATCCCAGAGAACAGTCCTGTCCAACGAATCGAAGGCAGCCCTGATGTCAAGAAACACTACGATTGTTGGCCTTTGATAAGTATGGCGGTGTTCTAACATTTGGCGGAGGGTGAAGATATGATCAATACATCCTCGACCAGAACGAAACCCAGCCTGCTCCTCGCGAGTCAATCTTTCTCGGGTTTTGAACAACCTACGAAGTATGACGGAAGCCAATAGCTTGGACGCAATCGGAAGTAGACTTATCCCCCGATAGTTGTTACAGGAACGACGTGAACCCTTTTTAAAGATAGGGACAACTATCGACTCATTCCATGACGTTGGTACACTCTCTAGTTCCCAAACCTTTGTAAACAACGTCGTCAATTCCTTAGTCAAAAAGTCACCACCATCTTTAAAAAGAGCCGGAGGTAAGTCATCTGGGCCAGGTGATTTGTAACGCTTCAAGAGTTGGAGTTCCTTGCGGACTTCCTCCTCATTTGGTGGATCAGTCGTCACCGGCCATGGAGGGCAGGACAGTCTGACCGATGTTGCCGGAGCAGCAGGCCAGTTGAACTGCCCTTCGAAAAATTCTGCCCATCGTCCAAGACGTCGATGGATGTTAGTGATTGGCATCCCATCATCCTCGCAGATTGTTTCACTCACACCAGACTTCTTGCTGCCAGTGGCTCGGATGAGCTGGAAGAGCTTCCGGTAGTTACCAGATGCAGCTGCTGCTTCCAGCTCATTAGCACGCTTCGACCACCAGGCTTCTCGGTCCTTACGCAAGCTTTGCCCAATTTCCTTACGTAACATCCTTCGTTTATGGTCAAACTCACGGTCACCCGGAGTAGACCGACGGGCTTCAATGAGTTGTAAGGAACCAGAAGAAACCCAGTGCTTAAAGCGGGACGTTTCGCAAACCCACAACTGACTGTTCCCGCCATTTTCATGGCGTCATGCAATTGCAACCAATGCTCATCTATACTTTTCGGTGGAGTGGTAGCTAGCCTAGAGGCTAGCTCGGTTCGATACTTACTTGCAACAGAAGTTGCAACCAGCTTGCTAACATCAATCCGTTGGTGGTGGTCACTTCGTTGTCCACTGAAAAGTAAGGCAAGATTGGCGCAGACCAAGGCATGGTCAGAGTCCAGATAGGTACTCCAAAAGGAGCGGCAGTCTTGTACACAACCACGCCAGCGGTAGCTGATCGCGATGTGATCAATCTGAGTCCAGGCTTGAGATGCAGAGGGAGGACGCCAGGTGGCACATCGGCGATGACTGTGCCGAAAGTTAGTGCTAGCCAGAAACAGGTTGTGGTCTGTGCAAGTTGCAGTAGACGGTCCCCGTTATCTGACCTGCGACCAACGAGTCCCCATCGGCCACCTAAACGACTCTCTTCTGTGCCTAGACGCCCGACCTGAGCATTCAAGTCTCCGGCTAGTACTACAATATCTGTCGAACGCACTTTCTGGAGAAGAACTGATAACTGGTGGTAAAACTCATCCTTGATTGCATCCGGGCTGCAATCTGTCGGGGCATAGGCGGAGATGACGAAAAGACATCGTTTCTCACGCCGATTTCTTCTCACTTTGATGGAACTTTCTAATCTAACAGCACATAACCGACTGTTAATGGGGATCCAATCGACTAGTGCTGCCTCAGCTCTAGCGCTTAGTGCGACACCAACGCCAGCAAGACCAGACGAAGATGCCACAGGGTCCCCGGATAAGCGCACGTAAAACAAGCTTTTCGAAGCGACAGATGGAGATCGAATTTGTAGTACTTCGCCAGAGTCTTGAATACGGGTCTCGGATAGACAACAACATCGATATTAAGACTTTCCAAAGACATAGCCAGCCCTATCTGTTGTCCGACCTGCATAAATGTGCGAACGTTGAAGGCAGCCAGTTTGAATGGTGCACGTGGTTTCAGAAAAACTGCTTCAGTATTCGTATTCGGTGGTAACATACAATTTTCAACCGGACAGTGACTCGAGAACGTTTAGATACAGTCGGATTTCCACCAAAGACGAGCCGCTGTATAAGTATAAAAGGGGGTGAATAGTGTTGAAATAATAATAATGATAATAATAATTATGATAATAATAATAGTGACAATAATAATAATAATAGTAATAGTGATCATGATAATAATTATAGTAATGATAATTTGAATCATTTGATTGTTTTCGAAGCGAGAAAAGTAGTTTCCTTAGATATAGAGAGTTCATCGTTTGTGTGTGGGCTGTGATACTGCCCGGGTGCCCAGACCGAAGCAGGTGGTTATGTTAGGGGGCCACACCCCGAGCCTTTGACCTAAAGGTCTAATCCACAAAGCAGTGGAGCATCGTAAGGAGATGCAGCCCAATGGTAGCCAGTGACCAACGATTGGTTCATAGGCCATTTGTTCCCGCAGGATACTGGAGCCAGCCCATGTGCACCATTGGTTTGGATCCGGTTAAAGCGCCGGACATTCGCTTTTCGTCCTCTCATTTTCGTAAACAACACCCCCGCCACGAGAAGGCAGTGAGTAGGAGTTCCCCGGCAGAGGCTCTATACGCGCGGCTGTGTGAGAGTATTTCGAGAGGGAGTGCGGACTCTTCCCACTCTCGACCGTACCAGGGCATTTGGGGGCATTGAATGTACGTATTCAAAATTAATTTTTGTATTGGGGTGGGAAGGACTGATGGAAAATGTCGATATCGATTTATGTACATTACATATAATGTACTAAGACAAGACACCAAACTTACGTCACAAATGAACTGATAAGATGCCATAAACCAACTCTTTCGCTATTTGCATCCCATCACGGCGTTAGCAACTAATGTGCGAGGAAGAAGTCCTTGAGATGATACTCGTGAAACATGTTCAAGATACGGAATTAGGTGTTTCAGAGTAATAACACCAACTGAATTACTATCAGTGCCCCAGTACACACATTACAAATCCTAAGCATTAGAGGATGTCAGCTTTTATGGCGAGAGGTAATTTAACACAGAAAGTCTCACAGTCGAATTTTACAATATCAGGTAAGATCTATCGGCGAATTTTAAACTTGACCTTCTCCAACCAAACTAACATGCCAGATTACTTTCGTTCGATATGCTATCACCGTTAATCATGGAAGCCTATCAGACACGCGGTCTTTAAATATTATGTTCTCGTCCATAATATTTAATAAATACGTATTTATTTGTATTTGAACTGGTAGCATGAAACTATGTAGTAGTTATTAGTATCTCTTAACATTTTATAGAACTACTTGTCAATTACGTTTAGTTGTGAATGTTTTCCACTCCTTGTCGTTTACTTACTAACCAGTAATACACTAAAATCCTACTATCAATAATTTAGGTATCTGGAATTAGAAAACGTTCGAGTGTTTTAAAATCGAGTCGCAGTATTAACCCATTTTAGCGTAGATCGGTCTAACGGCTGTGATAACAGATTAAACTAATAGTTGTGACTAAGTCTTAAACCAAGAGGATCAAATGCACTCCATACTAGTGAGTGGCGAGTTATTCCTTGATGTCTTTCGTTTTAAAGTAGTTTTCAAAGACTGGTGACGAAATAATCTTCTTAGATCTAGATGAAGCAGGGCTTAAAGGAAAAAATTATTATTTTGAGTAAGGATTGAAAATTTCTAAAGGGACATGAACTGTTTTTGCACTGTTACTACCAATCGTAGAAGTTGGATCTACATAGAAACTCAGTACCAAACACTCATAGGCTCTAGAACAAATGTTGATCCACATAGTTCTATTTTTTATAACGGAGTTTCAATAAGTTATCTCTTAAATTACGTAATGGTTCTGCCACCATAAACCAATACTTCTTTTATTAAGCCTAGTTACAGGGCATCCGTTAAAAAGGCCGGCGAATGCACTGTCCCTGAAATGAACTTCCACTGATATATAATACTACTTTAATGATATCGATATGGGTTATCTTCTAAAAACTGTTTTAAGCCACAATTTGCAAACCAATTGTTGAAGTGAAGACATTACATGACACAGTATGATGCATAATTGCTTTTATTTAGTTGTTTTTATCAATTGTTTGGAAAACTACTCACTTTGAAATATACCTAAAGTCGAATAACAAAATCGGTAATTAAAAAGCTATCAAGTTATCACTACTTCTTTGGAGTGAAAATATTCTCCATCGTTGTAACTTATCACAGTCATCGTGATTTCATAATTTTGATTAAACCATTCATTATTATTAGTAATACAGTTTATGCTTCTTTGTTCATTTCTTCCTCATTTCATGTTCTTAAAAATGATCTCTCTACTCGTCTGCGAGTTTCGCTCACCCATTTCTCAAGCCTATATAAATTCTTCAAACCTCCTTGAATTTTACACAAACCGTCACATCGATTTTCGCTTTCTGGATAATTGATTTGTAGTGTTAGTCAATAACGGAATTTAGATAAGTCAATTAACGAGAATGTCCTTTGAATACATATATTTTGTATATAAAGCGAATGAAACAGAAGAGCAAAATGACACGCAGATGGCTGGGATGCCAACTCCATTTTAGTCAAGCGTTACTCAATATTTATAGTCAGACAAAATAAAGATACAGACATGTGATTAATGGGATTAGAAGGGCACACACATATACGCTCATATAAAAACAGTCAAGACTGACAAGTGAATAATTGACAAGGTCAAAATATGACTCAAGTAGAATGAATAGAATGGAATGTCCGAAAAGTAGAATAAGATATAGGCTAAAACTAATGACTAACACTACAGATTCCTTACACAAGTTTTTTTGATATCTGTCTTCATTTGGCCTTATTTTTGTACATAAATACCTATAGTACTGATAGTTTTTATCGTTTCGATCTTTTTAACCATCAATATCTTACGTAATACAATATTATACTTCAATATGAATACGGTTGTAGGTAGCTTATGCTGGACTTTGAGATAAAAATAATATTATATTATTCAGTATTAGCTGTTGTTATTGCTTTATTTAAATTCATGAAGTTATTTGTATTAGTTAATTGCTGCCAAAGAGGTGGATATCAAAAGTCACTGTGCAGCTAGATAAAGTCACAAATTTTTAACCGAGGGGGTTGGGTTTTGAATTTTACTATGAGCACCAGGACGATATCATGAAATCTTGCACCCAACTAATATCACTAAGGTCCTTGAGTTCCGTTGATACCTACCACTAAAATACCACACATTAGTAGGAATAAAGTTTTTGATTTGATAGTTACGTTTTTGAATATTTCTGGTTGTTCTAAGCACACCGTGATGTGCTTAAAATTAATACTTGAAGTTTATCGTTTGCTGTCATTGCAATACAAAGAATGCCAATAGTCTATGAAAAGTTATCAAGTAGAAACAATGAGATTTACGGTATAATATGGAACAAGAAGACAATTACAAAAACTAACTGCAATAAGGCACATGCTGGTTAAACAATTCAGTACAGAATCTTGCATACATATCAAGAGTTAACAGTGGCTTTTTATATGAATGAAAGCGTTTTTGATTGTGCTTTGTTTTCTATGCTAGGAGATTTTACTATGGAGCTTTGGTTGTTGTTCTGGACAACGTTATTAGTTAATAATTATACAGAAATAAGCTTTTTAGTCACTTAGCAAGTTTTACACGGGTTCGTTCAGATGACCTTATTTGCAGTTGACTTTCTGTGTAGGTCATTTTTACCTTCAGCTGTTCTTGAATTAATGTTTTCCGTCTTTTTTTGGTTAACCCCTAGCTTTATAACTATTTAACCTATTCCGTATGGGTCGCAAAGTTATTTCCATGTCACTCTACTACTAGCTGATTAAGTCGTTTAATTCATAGAACGCAACAACAAAAGCATCTACCTCCTTTGCTAATATTCTTCGTCATTTCACATCCAAATTTAGAAAAATAGTGCTGAGAGAATAAATTTGGACTGGATACTTTCTTATTCACTTTCTAAACTATAAGGCAGTTTTATTATCTTGTGGTTATTTATGCCCCTCTAAACAATAAGTTTGAAGTAGGCATTATGGATTGTAGCTCATAACATAAAAGTTCAGGGCCCACCATCTGGATCAATAATTTTACCACAATTTAGTAAATGTAGATAATTTAGTATAAATATATGTCATGCATGTCTTGCAAATGAAATACACCCTTTATTTTATTTCGTTTGTTCGTGTGAGAGCACAAATCGAAATCAATTTATCTTACTTCAAAAATAATAAATACTACGTTGAATTTGAAGATTATTACTGTGATTATTTCCAAACATATAGAGTTTCGAATCAGTGTATTTAATCACTGAAGGTGAATCAACAATGACGTCACCGCAACTACTTGAAAATATTGTCAAAAATATGAAACATCCACTTCATATTGTATCTTATTGTTGTGAAGATATGAAAACAATAGACTATTTGCACAATTTATGCACTTATACAGGTGGACGGTAAGATATAAATTAAAATTAATTAAATTTTAGAATATTCATATTTTTCCTACCTCCGGTCTATTTTGATAAAGTTGTAATCATCGGTATATACAAATGAACATCAAATAATTGCTTGGTTCTATTGTAGAAATTCGGACTAATTCATACATGACTCATAAATTGAAATTAGATCACCTTTCAGTTTTAACAATAAACGCTATAACCTGTTGAACTGATTAACTCGACTCATATGACAGATATTATCAGAGATGGGTTATATATTACTAATACCTGTTCATCGGCTATCTGTGACTGGTGTGGGAGTAGATTTCAAGAAATCTAGGAGCTGAGCCGTGTAGTTGCATGCAGACCACCTGGTTGGGGTCGACATAATTATTGCAACCACTGGTTAAAGAATTTGGGTGACACAGCTACGAATCGTTCGCATTCGTGTAGGTGCATTCACTATTTGCCTTCATTTAGATCATACCTTTCTCAATTTCTGCGTAAATCTTTTATATTCCACGAAATCCTTATTTCCTCAAATCATATCTTCTCTGCCTACTCTCTTTCATTGTCACTAATACTGTTGCTATCTCTTTTACTCTGGGATTTATCTTGACAGTTTTGTCTAGTTTTTTCAATGAGGTGTAACAACTTGAATCAACTTATATACTTCCTTTTTACGGCTGACTTGTTGACTGGCTGAGAGCTAACAACGCCATTCTATGTATCATTAGAGTATTCACTACACCATTTGATTGAATCAGTCTTTTTTAGTTATTTGGAAGGGCTAGTGAAAGTTGAGTTTTCTTGTCTCTGATTAGCCAAAAAAGAAACAGGCTAAAATTAGAAAGACTCTTCATAAAAGTGGTAGGTGGAAACGACATCTTAAGACTTTTGTTTACTTTAAATTATATATTTTAATTGATAAAACGTTTTAAAAAGTGATGGGAATGACACTCCAAGTACTTAATCTTCACTAACTCATTCATGCTGGATTCAGTCTTTAGGAAACTACTGCAATCACATGAGATCAAGCAAACAAATGCTTAATATTTGAATAATACGTTGTGTATATGTTGATTTTTATTCATAAAAAAGTGCGTGAAACTGGAAAGTGAAAAAAATAATGTCTTCTCAATAAACAAACAATCATAAAATTAGTACTGTTCACGAATATTAATCCGTTTGACACTACAAAATAAAGTAAATGTAGAGAAGAACTTATTAAAATGAACAATAAAACAAGCGTTATTGAAAAAGTAGTAGATAAACATAGAATATTAAGACATCCAAGATTCAGTGGTGGGATTTCATTCTATTTAAATAGTAAATAGTTAATTTGTCCTTGAGAAACTAAGGACGAATTATTTGAATTTTTTGAACGTTTTCATTAGGTAAATATGGGAACGCAAAAACTAAAACAATGAAAGTTAGAATTTGTATTAATATTTTATTGAATTACTCTCTTTTTATACTATCAATTAAAATTTTTTTCTCGACTTTTTACTTAATAACACTTTATTACCTCGAATGTTCTAGAGATATATGTCCAACTGCTCCCTAATTTACAGTCAGTAGGACAAATAATTAGGATATAATTATTTAACTTTCAAAAAAAAGTAGGGAGAAACATGTAACAGGCAATAATTTTTGCGATTGAACAAGTTTTGAAATATGTATGTTTTAATTATCACGTGCTGAATTGTTGTTATGGCCTTCATTTGGGAAATCTGAGTGACCAAGTTACGCGTGAAATCTCGGAACCAAAAAATGAAATTCGTCAAAGTACCTTATAGAAAACATTATGAACTCGAATCTCTAGTCATGAGATACCCAGGCATAAAAAAACCATCAACAAAACAATCTAGAAACTGTAAAACCCTAGGACATCTCGTAAATAAAAATGACACTAGACTGCTTCAATCGGGAATAACTGCAATTAACGTAAACAAATTAGGCACTTTATTTCCAAAATGCACGAACCGGTAAAGATAAACGAAGTTTTGGAGATAAGCTCACAAGAAGAAGGTCAAATGATAAAATAAATAAGAAGTACTGCTTAAACCATGAAAAATAAAAGATGACCAGCTAAAAGGTAGCGTCAGTGCAACTCCTTGTGTATGCGGAGCATTTTCTTCTTCATGGCCGGAGTATAACAGCAGCTCACCTGAAGCTAGTCTTTGTTGTCCAACCTGCGTCCAATGTATTTCACTGATTGCAATTACCTCCAAGTTATATCTTTTCATTTCTGCAGCAATTTCTATGATTCTCTCGGTCTCCCACATTGTACTAGCATTTCATGTGCCTAAATTAATGGTTGCTCTTGTTGTCAGAAGGGGAATCATCCTCGTGACTTTCGAAGGAACTCTGAGTCCGTAACATTGATGTCTTTATTTTAGCTAGACATAGTTGGTAATTAAGTTCTGAAATTTTATATTCAAAATTATAATACAAGTTACTAATATGAGATGAAAATTCCACAATACAATGAAATGCAGCTGTTAAATGTTCGGCACAATGTATCTCGACGTAAGATAGTTTTCGGATCAGAAATGTCTTGCCGTTCTCAGTTGGCGGCATCAAAGGCAGATATACATCACTACTTACACCAGTTAATAGTTCTTGTAAAGTAGAACGCAATTTTTAGTGATAATAGTTTAGTTTCCAATGCAAATAATTATTATACTTTGGGGCTTGGCTAAATCTAGTTATTTGACCCTCATATCACAATGAGGTAACTGAAGGTAATCCATTTGGTCCCATATATTTTCGTTTTAATTAATTAACTTAGATGACTAATTCAACCGGTTAACCCCAGTGAATTCATTTGTCGCGATGTCAAACACTGGACTCGGTGGTTGAAATATTAATCTCTTTGATGATTTAATTACGTAATCCACAAAATAACACATTCAAGTTTTTAAATTTAATCTATTAAATCCAATGAGTTTTGAAACAGATTTACAGATTCAACAGTCATTCTAAACTTTTCGACTTCTGTTTTGAAAAATATTCAAACAGATTTCATGCTTATTGCATCAATACACATATTCCATTATATTCACCAAGCTGTTGGGATGTAGAACAATTTCAACAAACAATTCGTGTTAACAAAATTGAATATGGTGGTCCACCTAAAGGTTGGGGTCAACATGAAGATTGTGTATTAATATTTGAAGAGTTAGAAGAAGCTCGATCTTTATTACAACGTATCGAAGAAGTACTACATGATATTGATCGTATACCTGATGAGGTATTTAAAGGTATGAATGATATTGTAAATGATAACTTGTAGTTAATTTAGAATTAAAAAATATTTTATTTGTAATCTAGTTACTTAGGCTTAGCTTCAAATTGTGTAATCAATATTGACCACAAAACGGACTACATTTGGTTAAATAGTGTCTAAACTTCATGATTGTTAAATATGTTGTCATTTTGGAAACATCCAGTTAAAAGCACTAGTAATAATAGAATCGAAATAAAGTGAAAAAGAGTCTTGATTTTTTAAACACCACTCTGTGCTATAGAATATCTGCTTTGAAAGCGAACGTAACAAGAATGTAATACTAACGTCTTCACCGTGTTTTCAAATAATACTCACGTGTGATGGGAATATCTTACTCATATAGTTATGCCTGTTACCCTTCATGAAGGAGCACAAGTCACTCACCAACACTCCATTCAAATATGTCCTGTGCAATCCTTTCCAGTTCTTTCTACTTGCTATTCATCATTTTCACATCGGATTCCAACTCCCAACGCAGTGTGTTCTTCGGCCCTCCACTTTTCCGTTTCACTTCAAGATTTCAAGTTGGGGCTTGCCTCGTGATGCCTATTCACTTCCAACGTCTTTTCCTAATTTCCTCTTCAACTGGAAGTTGGTTTGTTCTCTCCCACGGTTGGTTGTTGCACATGGTATCCGGCCAACAGATATTGAGAATCTTGCGTAGACAATTGTTTACTTCTTTGATGATTGTTGTAGTAGTTCTCTTATCTCCAGCTCCGTACAGTAGAACTGTCTTGACGTTAGTAATGAATACTGTGATTTTGATGATGGCTCACAGTTGTTTCGAGTTTCATATGTTCTTCAATTTTGAAGATGCTGTTTTGCTTTATTAATCTCGCCTTTACATCTGCATCGAATCCTCCTTGCTTATCAACGATGCTACCCAGGTACGTGAAAGATTCCGCAATTTCCAAAGCTTCCCCATCGTGTGTGACTAGGTTGGTGTTCTTTGTGTAGTACTTGACTATCATGCTTTTTCCTTTGTGTATGTTGAGGCCTGCTGATGCAGAGGCAATCGTTCGTGTGTATGGGATGGAAGGGCCAGGTCATCTGCGAAGTCCAGATCTTCCAATTGATTTTGAGCTGTCCATTATATTCCGTGTTACCCCTTAGATGTCGAGGTCTTCATAATCCAGTCGACCACCAGAAGAAAAACAAAGGGGGAGAGTAGGCAGCCTTGTCTAACTCCGGTCCTTACTTGGAATGGATGTGCCAACTGTCCCCCACTCTCGACTTTGCACTATAGTCGGTTGTATGAAGTCCGGTTAATGTTGATGATCTTCTTAGGTACACCATAGTGTCGAACAAGTTTTCATGAGTTCCTCCCATTCACACTGTCAAACGACTTCTCATAGTCAATAAAGTGGCTGTTTAGTGACGAGTCCCATTCAACTGATTGTTCACCGATGATCTGTATTGTCGCAATTTGGTCTTTGCACGACGAGTCCTTACGAAATCAAGCCTGTTGATCTCGAAGTTGGGTGTCTACTGAGTCTTTCGACCAGCTCGGCAACACTGTTGAAAAATTTCCCTGGTACTGACAGCAGTGTGATGCCTCTGTAGTTCTTGCATTTGCTCAGATCTTCTTTCTTTGTTATTTTGGCGAGGTGTCATCCTTTCCAGTCTGTCGGCACTTGTTCTTCCTCTCAAATCTTCCTGAACAGAACGTGAAGCATACTTGTAGTTACTTCGATGTCTGACTTCAGTGTTTTGGCTTGTGTATTGTCAGGTCCTGCCACTTTCCTGCTCTTGATTTGTCCGATGACCATCCTGATTTATTCTATCGTTGGTGGAGTGACCCCTATAGGAAGGTTTGTAGGTACTACTTTGATATCCGGTGGACTCAATGAAGCTGGTCCATTCAAGAGTTCTTCCAATTGTTCTACCCAACTATCCTGCTGTTCTTGATTCTCAGTGCTTGATCTGCCTTCTTTGTTCTTGACTGGTGTTTCTGGTTTGATATAATTCCCCGTCAGTTTCTTCGTTGTGTGATATAGCTGTCTCATATTTTCTTCTATTGCGATTTTTTCCGCTGTCGTTGCTAGGTCTCCCAAATATTTCTGCTCGTCTGCCCTAATGCTCCTCTTCACTCTCTTGTTTGCTTCTGTATATTGGGCTTGTGCATTGACTTTCTCTGTTCTTGTTTGGATGTTGTTAATTGCTGTCTTCTTGTTCTTCCTTTTTTGAATCTTGTGCGGGGTTTCCATGGAGATCCATTCTTTATGATGATGCTTCTTATGGCCTGGCACCTCCTGACACGTTGAAGATAGTGCTTCTTTGATCCGTTTCCAGTTGTCCTTCATAGTATTTTGCTCTTCTTTGAATAGACCTTGTAAGGCTTGTAACCTGTCGTTGAGAGCTGTGTTGAATTGGTTTAGTTTGTCAGTACCTCGAAGGAAGTCTGTATGTAATCTTTGTAATGTTGTTTCCCTAGCAGTTCAGTGTTTCTTTAGCTTCAGTTTCATATTGGCCGCAACGAGGTTGTGATCTGAAGCCGACTTTTCTAGTAATGCATATATGATCGACCTGGTTCTCTGTAGTGTGGTTCGATGGTACCCATATATCCTTGTGCGTGCGTTTGTGTGGGAATATTGTGCCACCTATAACCAATTTGTTGAATGCGCACAGGTCTGCATATCTCTTTATATTTTCGCTCCTCTCTCCCAGTCCATGTCATCTCACGACATCTGCATATCCGGTGTTGTCCATTCCGACTTTGGCGTTTAGGTATATCATCAGGATGGTGAGATCCTATCGTGGGCACTTCGCTTTGATTGATTGCAGCCTCTTGTGTAGCTGGTCCTCATTGTCGTCGTTGGTGAGTGCATAACATTGGATAACATACATTGTGATTCCCTCCTTCTTTGTTTTGAATGATGCTTTGATGATTCTAGATCCGTAAGATCCCATCCTATAGGTGCATGCTTCTTTGAACAGCAATACAGCAACTCCCTAAGTGTGCGTATTATTTTCCTCTTTGTGACTGGAGTACAGCAGCATCTCTCCCGTACTTAACCTTTGCCTTCCAGCTAGGGTCTAATGGTTTTCGTTCATTCCGAACACCACCAAGTTTATTTCCTTATTTTCGTAGCTATTTGATTGTTCCTCCCGGTCTCCCACATTGTTCGTACATTCCATGTAGCTACATTGATTGTTGTTGTTAAATGGGACATCAGCCTCATGACTTTCGAAGAATCTCGGCTTTCAACGTGAGGCGTCATAATTCTTCCTTCAATTCCCAGGGAAGAGTTTAAATGATTTAATTTGTTTATCCTGGTTGGCGATTTTAGCAAGATATTTTCCTACGGGATGGGGTTGCTGACCCCATGCCCATTTCTCCTTTACTCGGGCTTTGAACCGGTAGTAATTGCTGAAGAGCTACAGGCGGAGTTGATGGGAATATCGGTCAAACAATATTCTGGTTTCAGTTTTAAATGTTTGGAAAGTCGCTAAATCAGAAGGTAGGGTTTCAAACTTGAACCATTTAAAGTGACTATATCATATATTACATACTTTATTCTCTAATCTTTACTATATTATTCAAAGTAACAACTGGTTAAAATACTGAATAAAAGTGATTGGTTTAACACGTGACACCCTGTTTATGAGGGCATTGACGACTGTTCTTATTCTTACGTTGACTCATACTCCAAAATATGGTTTGCAAGTTGTCGCAAATCAATAATTTAAAAATCTTGTTATAAATGTAATGAACGTAGTACGGTGATCTAATGTCCATCAAACAGTTTTAAATTTGTAGGCTATTATTTTTAAGTGTGTACTTAACCCAAACTAGGCCATTCATTTCGACCTTTAATTCTAAATTATAACTATAGAGCCTAGAAATAATTTATACTGAAAATAATATTGATCGCTTATATATCTGTTTTAATTATACATCTAGCAAGACAATTACATTAGGGCTATGTCCAGTTTACTACTTTCGACTAACCGTTGGATCATTACATAACCTCTTGATATTTTGAGTTTTCAAACATATCATGACACCATATCTCTGTGTTTTTCAACAGACTAATAGATTTTGAATAACTACAAATACTGTAACTACTATACTACATTGGTAAATGAATTCATCACAAAGGAAATGATTTTCTCTATTTTTACTTGAATATGTTCATTTTATTTAAAAAAGCAAGAACAAGGTTTGCAGTATAAAATGAATTCATTCTATTTCATGGTTTTTCATCGGCTGTGTGCAACCTGAAATTATAATTATGGACATAATTATTTACAAATCTTTAGTTTGTGAAGTTTAGATAAATATTCGAAATGTAACCGAAATCATAATAATAATAAGAATAGGGTAACAAACTGTATGAACAAGCATAATTAAGAGCGACGTGTACTTATATGTTAGAAAGTAACAATGTGGATTACGACAGGTTACCAGTAACCACAATCATGATATACGAAGTTGTGTAAGAGAAACAAAACTAATAAGAGATCAAGTAATCACTCAATATGATAGACCAAGCAAATATGTGAAGATCAATAAGATTATGAAAGAGACAAATGTCAGAAGACGAAAAACAGGGGTAAGAGGGTTTAAAAAAATCAATGGTTTGTACTTGTATTGGTTGTTTGTACCTCCCCATTTATGTTTAGGACAGCAATTAGTCAGTCTCTTTTTGGCATATGTGAAACCTATGCTTCTACATTCCTGTTAAGTCACAAGCATTATAAGCAAAGATGGGTGGAAGCTAGCAGTGGAATCTAGGACTCGCGTTTCGCCCTATTTAGAGTTTGTCATCTGGATGTAATTAAGGTTATTTGTTCAACATAAAATCAACATATTAGAGAAAAGTTCATTACACTTGCCTTCTGTATGCACATGTCAAGTTGGAAACTTCTGATGGCGTTGCCTCTATATAATGGAGTAAGACTGGTGTTTTTATCTATGAATTAGTTTAAATCCATTACTTACATTCATTCCATATCAAGTATTCCGAATTCTCTTGACCTGTGAAGGCTTTACTTCCTTTCAGCTGTAGGTTCCTAGGAATGTGTTAATTATATTCGAATCAATGTTATTCTAGTTCACTTTTCTATTGCTAGACTTTCTTCTACTTTGTTGTTGTGTTAGTTGTAGTAACTCAAAATGATGAGTTTTCGTATAGGTTCAAATATAGAGATAGAAATAACTGAAATGCATAACTGACCAATCACTTTTAGATCATATTTGTTCAGACACAGTTTATTTAAATAGTTAGTTGAATAGCTCCATTTACACAAGACTATTGTTTACGTGAGTGCACACTAACCATTCCAAACTTACCACTAACTTCATCTTCCTAACACTATTTTTAAATATCCTGTAACTTAAATATGTGCTATAATTTAAAGAAGATAAGTCTAAAGCTAATAAAATTACTTTAACCCACCAATTTGTAACTTTGAACATAACAGTTTCAGTCTCACATTATCATCAACAAGTAATCGACAATTTGATCAATATGAATGGCAGTGATTGCAATTTTTAATTATAAAGATCTATTTCATTTTATATTGTCATTTTTCAGACTCTAATTCTGAGTGCAGTCAAGCTGCACCTATAAAAAGTAGTTGTGAATTTGGCTGGAAACGTGAAGAGTATATGTCATCAAAAGAATGGCTAAGTATTTATGGTTTAAAAGCTCAACATTTGGATTTCTATGATTTATTAGTTAGTGTTTCATTTAAACACTGTGATGGAGTTGTAAATGTTTTGAAGCCCCCATTAAATGTTAATAACAATGATGCAATGGAAAGAGAATGCAATAAGATTTATGATGATTTTGGAAAATCCAATCATTCGGAACCAGATTCAAATGATTCTTCACAAATATGGTCTTCAAGTGCAGTACGTAATAATAATATAACCTATTGTTAATGAATTAATTTTAGTCACAGTTTTAGTCACATACAATTATTTCATTACCTCATGTAATGTACCACTCGTATGGTAAAATGTGGTTCCTCGTATTGATATTATTTATCATCCATCGTAAATGCTAATAACGATTATTATTACACGGTTTAAATTATGTGCAGTATACTGTACATATGTTATGAATAAAATTAATATTCCATTCTTGAATTCTGTGTTAAAAAATAGGTTTCTATGATTAATTGACTAAGTGTTAGGTTTAAAGTAATATATCCTTACATTTTAACAAGTGACCTATGATTCTCAATGTTCCAATAATCTTATTAATTTTATTAATAACACTGCATCATAACCTTATTTTGTGATACTTAATTACGATTTATTTTGGCTGACAGAAAGATGTTTTCAAACTACTTAAAATCAGACACAAATGTGTATTAGCTCAAGTTGCTACAGATTGAATATCTAGACAGAGAGAGAATAAATCATAATAATGTGGTGAAAAAAATCGGAAAAAAAACCAATGAAATCGAAGAAGAGATGGTGTAGAATGGCCTCAAGTTTAAAGAATCATGATTTAATAAAGAGCTGTAAGATAGTTGGAGGTAGTTGCGATGATGCCGGTAGATTTGTGTTCTTACATTATATGCCCACTAATATGTTACAAATTCTATCGACAGGGCCTTTTTTACTTTGATGATACTAATATTCGGGTCAAAAACAATGAATTTATGTTTGGCTTTCTTAATATTCATCATTTGTTAATATGAACCTTACAAATGATTTTTATTGTTCATATAATCACAGTCATGGCATATTATAACACCGAGTTACTTACCGTGATAGTTGTATCACTAGACACTGATCAGTACAAATAATTCTCTCATAACATTAGTTACCATTTTATTAAAAATGCCTTATGTGGTTAAATACCATAATTTTTCAATATAGTAAATTATTCATTGTTTTTCCTTATACTTTACAAAACTTATGCGCATTTTGAAGATTATTCAACCAAAGTTGATTAATGCTCAATATTGTAGCAATTTTGTACATGTTCGATGGAAAAACGGTAATATAGTTCATGTGCAAATTACACCTGAAATGTATCGTTCATACTCTCGACGTATGCATTCTAGATTAAATGCTATTAAACATCGTTTAGATCTATTAAGACAAGGTTCAAGGGAATTATTTGGAACCATAACAGAAGATAATGTAAGCTCGTATTGTTGTTAAACTAGTTACATAAACTGATGTGTATTTACATTTAATTGAACATATTATCAATATTATTTTGTAATTTGTATAATGAATCTTAATTCCTTGAATTATATAAACTTCATACTGATAATCAGCTTTTATTGTCTCAGTAATATCAAAGCTACATTCTCATTTACTGATACGTCTTGTTGGTGATGTGGAAACTTTCACGTACCTGGGTAGCATCGTTGATAAGCAAGGAGGATTCGATGCAGATGTAAAGGCGAGGATTAATAAAGCAAAACAGCATCTTCAAAATTGAAGAACATATGAAACTCGAAACAACTGTGAGCCATCATCAAAATCACAGTATTCATTACTAACGTCAAGACAGTTCTACTGTACGGAGCTGGAGATAAGAGAACTACTACAACAATCATCAAAGAAGTAAACAATTGTCTACGCAAGATTCTCAATATCTGTTGGCCGGATACCATGTGCAACAACCAACCGTGGGAGAGAACAAACCAACTTCCAGTTGAAGAGGAAATTAGGAAAAGACGTTGGAAGTGAATAGGCATCACGAGGCAAGCCCCAACTTGAAATCTTGAAGTGAAACGGAAAAGTGGAGGGCCGAAGAACACACTGCGTTGGGAGTTGGAATCCGATGTGAAAATGATGAATAGCAAGTAGAAAGAACTGGAAAGGATTGCACAAGACATATTTGAATGGAGTGTTGGTGAGTGACTTGTGCTCCTTCATGAAGGGTAACAGGCGAAAGTAAGTGACCTTGTTGGTTAGAGTTGATAGCCATAAAATTGAAATAGCAAGACTAACGTTGGTTGCAAATAAATTGTTCAACTTATATGAGATAAATTGTAATATCAGGTCTGAAAATTAGGTATTTTACCATTTACAATGAATTTATACCTAAATGTTGTCTACATCAATGCGCATTGCTGGCTGAAGTAGGTTTAAACAAAGATGGAAACGGTCAAATCAACACATGGCATCGTTTAACGAATTGATTGAGTTTTAGTCTGAACCATTTTAGGCGATGGAAACTATTTTGTTAGAGTACGAGGGATAATCGTTATCAACGGTTGAAAACATGACTGAAAATCGATCAGTCTCTCACTTTATTTCATACCAAATTCCAAGGTTTCATATTATTTCATACACTTTATTCCTCGAATATATTTGGTATTGTCTTCATGCTTGTGTACTAATGTGACAACTTGAGCTGAAGTATAAATGAAACAGGCTCTAAATTATTTATGACCGACTAATTGATAACTGAACTAATATCAATGATGAAAATTTCTTTTCATACAAATCATAGAAATTTGTTGACAAAACTTGTCATAAATAAAAATGCAAGTCTACTATTCTTCTAAATTTGATAGTATGATGCCATTAACAACAATTATTAATTCATTTTTTTGTATTTTTTATTATTATAAATTAGGTATATATTTTGATTGATACCAGTACATCAATGTTATCTTGTATAAAATTTGTTAAAGAAAAATTGTTACAATTAATTTATGAACAGTTGAAATATAAAAATCGTCTTAATTTTATCTCATTCAATTCAAATGTTAATGCATGGCATAATCATTTACAAAGTACAACTGAATGTAATTTAAAGGTAGGCTTCATGTAGTTTTTATATTTTAATGTGAAATAATAAAAAAACATTATTTGTAAAGGTTCGTATTTCAACTTTGTTGATGTTACAGTCTGTAAGTGACCAGTCTATATTGGCTTCATTTATAGATTATAACATAGATAACTGAAAAATGCAGATCTTTACAAATGATATTCATACTCATTGCACAAGCTAACAAATCTCTGTCTGAACTTAGTAGCTCAATGAACAAAGCTTTAGCGTTTGAAGCAAAAGGTACTTTTGTTCTAGTCACAATGTGAACAGCTAATTAGTCCCATGTAGGATGTAAAGTTTGTCCTGGTATTTATTATTCCATTTTAGTAAACAGTTTGTATAAATTAAATATTTAGATGTAGATATTCAACAAAATTTAGTGATCGTTTTGACATACGGTTTTCGCTCAGATTCTGAACATTTTAATAGTTATAGTTTATGTCGAAATATTTCTAGTTTTTTATTGCTTGCCGTTTCAATAATCTCTTTCTGTTCTAGATTTGAATTTACTTTTCGTGTTGTTTTAATATATACTGTTTTGAACTGTTTCATATTTATTTTATTCTATCAACTAAAAGTCGGTCGTGGTTTAAAATCGACAGTAGATTACTGATCACATGACCAATTAGAGTTCTATAATCAAAGGAAATGTAATTTGAAACCCATATTTTTAAATATCTCATCAACATGATTCTGAACCTCTTCTGCTGATTTTATTAATATCCTTCAATATACTGGTTAGACGAATTGCTGGATCTCGTAATTTCCCTATCCACTTGATAAAATGATCTATATCATAAAAGAAAACTTTCAATAAAGTTTTAAGGAGAGTCATTTTTCTTCAAAGACAGACAGAATAATTTTTTGTATTTTTCACGATGTAAGTTTTGCAGTGATTTCAACTTTTTTTCAGATAATCTGGAAACACAATTTCTATCTGATTTCATTAGATCATTGTCAACGTAACTGCCTATTTGATTAGTATGGATTAGTTATTCTTTATGTTTATGAAATTTTATTATTTGATTTTATTCATTTCATTTTTCGTTGCCAAAATTAACGTTTATCAACATGTTGTTACTCGATGGTAACGAGTTATCATTTAAATTAATGTACACAATATTTCAGTTTGTTTGATTACAGAACTACAGTCTTTAAATATATAAACATAATTTAGATATAGATGGCTTCAGTAAGACCACTTTTATCTGCTTGTCTGCGTGACCAGTGAATTTCAAATATTTTAAAAACACCGTTACGAAACCCATCAGACATGAACATTGGATTTGATCTGACAGTCGGTTTTTTCTGTTGATTACTCGCTATTTGGTACCTTTAACCAGTTACAATCTCAGGAAAGTGTAAAGAGCTGTAATACAAAATATGCTATTATTTAATTGTTCAGTAACTGAATTTATTTGGTATTCACCAAATACTAAGTTAAAATTTGATATAGCGATCAAACAATTTCCAAATATATTTCAGTTACTGACAGAAGCTTTTAGAGGACGTTTGTGTTAGAGTTTCTGACCCGACAAAATTTATCCTAAAATGACATCTCGGATGAACAGTCTTTTGTCGACTTGAAATCGAGAGAGTATATGACATTTAATTCACTGAAGTCATTTTACGATTGGTTTTGCTCATTGATCTCCTATCTTTGACTAATATATTCAGAGTTCTGTTGATTTGAGCTAATTTTTGAGTAGCAATAATCACTTACGGTTCATAAACCGTATTTTATTTTAGTTGGTTTTAATTTTTCTTGATGTAATTTCTTTTCAATAACATATCGTCCGCAAGTGGATTCTATTATAGTGGATTATTTCCTAGATAATTTTCAAGCTTCATATATCAACCGGTCTGATAACCGTTCCTAAATATATCCCAACAGTATATAAATTTCACAAAATACGAAGCATCAACTACAGCTTATTACTGAAAAGCGCTGATAACTAAGCAACAAGCACGCCGAGAGAATTCAGGCAGAAATACTAATGCGAGCGAACGAGTAAGGAAATGCAGAGGCAAATTGAGGGTCGTATGAATTTATAAGATTCAAGCACGTATATAGGAAAGCGATTTAACCAATTAATAGTTTAGACAGTAAAAGAGATATGTGTAGGTTATAACATATAGTTGAGTATGCAGAGATAATAATAATATAAAGATACACCGAATATTATTGTTCGAATGACACTGTCTGTTAGGTAAGTTAATTGAAGGGCTTAACAAAACCAAACGCAAACAGACTTAAGTGTAGGTAAGGTGCTATAGTATGTAACGATTAATTTTATTCTTATTTCCTTTTAAGATCCTTCAAATCGAACGTTTAACTATAAATGGTCTTTTATTCGTCCCGTATTGTGATTCATTTTCCGGTATGCATATTGTTTTTTCTTTTTCTCCCATTAATCTGTCATTCTACTGTTGCATTTTATATTGTCGTTTCTTTAATCCAAATCAGTCTGCTGTAAAATGGATTGAAAAATTAACATGTGGTGGTACGACAAATACATTAAAAGCACTTCAATTCGCTTTGGAAGATAATTTAACTGAAGGAATTTATTTATTAACAGATGGTCGACCAGATCAACAAACGCATACTCTTCTACTTAGTATGCAATTGAATAATCGTGTACCTATACACACAATCAGTTTTAACTGTAATGATCCTGAAGCAAACGAATTTCTGATTCGACTAGCTCAAGAAAGTGGTGGACGTTTTCATTATTATAATGAATTTCCAAATAATGTAAATAAACCAAAACAATGGGAGGTATGAGTGATGTTTGTCAGTTAATTGATTAACCAATATCAATAACGCCTAGTATATACTATAATAATTGTGAAAATCTTAATTACTAGTTCGAAGTGTTGTCATGCTTAATTATGAGCCTCATGATGTATTAAATAATTGGCCAACATGGACGCGTCATAAAAAAATTCGAAATTGATGTATATGTCATAACAACTTAAAAAATCATTGTATCTAATTTCACGTTTTATTTTACTACTAAAAACCGTAAGTTTCCTCCATTCAGTGTTAAAGTATTAAGTATACGTGTTTACATCATGTGATCTTTCGAATGATAATTCATTATGAACTGACTATTGCTTGCTTACATACTCACGCCTGTTACCCCTCATGGAGGAGCATAGGCCACACACAAGCATTCACCATATAACTCTGTCCTGTGCGATTCTCTCCAGTTGTTTCAAGTTTCTACTTATCCGTCTGATTTCTGCTTCCAGTTCCCGACGCAGTGTGTCCTTCAGCCCTCCTCTTTTCCGTTTCCCTTCAAGATTCCAAGTTACGGCGTGCCTTGTGACGAATTCTGATGATTTCCATAATGTATGTCCTATCCCACTCTAGATTTGTTTGTTGGCCATCCTGATTTATTCTGTCGTTGGTGGAGTGACCCCTATAGGAAGGTTTGTAGGTACTACTTTGATATCCGGTGGACTCAATGAAGCTGGTCCATTCAAGAGTTCTTCCAATTGTTCTACCCAACTATCCTGCTGTTCTTGATTCTCAGTGCTTGATCTGCCTTCTTTGTTCTTGACTGGTGTTTCTGGTTTGATATAATTCCCCGTCAGTTTCTTCGTTGTGTGATATAGCTGTCTCATATTTTCTTCTATTGCGATTTTTTCCGCTGTCGTTGCTAGGTCTCCCACATATTTCTGCTCGTCTGCCCTAATGCTCCTCTTCACTCTCTTGTTTGCTTCTGTATATTGGGCTTGTGCATTGACTTTCTCTGTTCTTGTTTGGATGTTGTTAATTGCTGTCTTCTTGTTCTTCCTTTTTTGAATCTTGTGCGGGGTTTCCATGGAGATCCATTCTTTATGATGATGCTTCTTATGGCCTGGCACCTCCTAACACGTTGAAGATAGTGCTTCTTTGATCCGTTTCCAGTTGTCCTTCATAGTATTTTGCTCTTCTTTGAATAGACCTTGTAAGGCTTGTAACCTGTCGTTGAGAGCTGTGTTGAATTGGTTTAGTTTGTCAGTACCTCGAAGGAAGGCTACAAAGTTTATTTGTGTACTTTTCAATCCATGTGAAAATTATAGCGAAATGAATTAGTTAGATAAAGCTATCACCACGAATCAGAGAGTCAACTATCAGATGATGAGATCATTGTTTTGAATAGTGCTACGTGTTTGTAATCAATGTCAACAGTGTTCAAACATTTAAGTCGATAAACTTTTGAAAATAAACACCAAACATTGCTGATATTGATTACAAATACGTTTTGGGCATGATTAGAAAATTTTAAAAGTGATTGGTTAACTTGTTTTGAAAATGTGTACTCATGTGTTCAAGAACAAATATTTTGTTGCCTGTAATAATTTGTTCATTGGCTGCTGCGCATATTTCTAATTTTATTAGTTTTAAAATCAAAACGCCATAGACTGTTTTCGTTAGATATCAAAATTTGTATTTTTACATTTGAATTTTATTTTAATAAAAAAATTAAAAATAACCGTACGATAGATGATATTCCTATCAGAATGAGTAGAATGACATAACCTATGTAACTATATTTTATACCTTAAACAATTTTCTTCCTGATCATATTGAAATAATGAATTATTATACTGGATCTTCACTGTAAGCTCATTTTAGTTAGATTTCATGAAATACCTTATGACAATTAGAAATTCTATTCAGATATTCGTAACTGTAAACGACACTATACACATATTTTACAAAATCCAATTTTTAAATAATTTTAACTGTTTTATGAATTGCAACCTTTTTAAGTAGTACATTCTTATAAAAAAATATATATGTGTAAGATATTCAATTTCAAAGAAAGTAATAATTTCTTCTTTTGAGTCAACATTCATCCACACTTTTTAAACGAAATAATTTTGTCAAGTTTCTGAAGGATTGCCACATAAAAAAATGTAACAGAAACCTTTTATAACAAGAAAAACTTAGTAACCAAGTATAAGGTAGTATAAACCTGACTATAAGGTTTATGCTTTTCATAGCAAATATCAATATTGTCTGGTCAACTGAATCGAATTGGACGAACTAATGTTAAAGCCTACAATTGAAGAACAGTTTCAACTTACTCGTTTTACACTAATTATATGATTATAAATCACATGTACCTAACAGAATATGAGTTACACCATCAAGAAAGAAAAAAAACGGCAATATAAATCAAATGAGGTTGATACAATTGAAATAAACAAATAGAATGATAGAAAAATCAACGTGAAATCAATTTATTTTCTTTATATACTATTAACTGCCAAATTTCGTTTCAATATATTTTATTAACGCTTCAACCTACTCAATACGTTAATGAATTCAATTATATCATTTCAGAGTGAAGATGTTAGATTATTAGAAAATGAATATCAGCTTGGTTTAGATAATTTAGAAAAATTAGCTCAATTAAAAGATGAATGTTATTTATTACGTATGAAAGCGAATAATGAAAAAGCCACATTAATTCATTCAAAAAATAAAAATAAACAATTAAAATTAACTGAAAAAAATCAATACATCTTATCAAATAAATCACAAACTATTAATAATTCAACAGATACGATAAGTTCTGAAAGAGATTCAGCTTGTTCAGAAAAACAGAAACAATCTAAATGGAATACTACAACTACCTCTATTGTTTCTACTATCACCAATAATCCAGCTGAATTTGTACGCTATCCAACAGTTTTAACTAATCATTCGAATATAGTTAAGCAGCAAAAGTCTACAGTAAGAAAGAAATCTATTGAGAAAATGTTCAATGGTAAATCGGAAATTTTCTCTTCTTTCCATTATTTGTAATGTGAACGTTTTAGAATTCATGATATCAGTAATTAGATCAAGGTAGACAATAAAATTTGAAGAATCGGTTTCAATGTCTGTATTCAGGAATCATTCATTCATGCATCTTAAGAATGTTTTACATTACACTAAAATGTTTGATTTTAACTTTTGAAAGTGTCATTTTGACGAATGTTAAGTACCAGATTAATTGTTATTCTCGTTGTAACACCATTTTTCATTTTATTACTGATTGATACAAGATGTATGTTATTATATTTTTGGACAAAGGAAATAAGAAATTGTATTTCGTGTTTTTTTTAATTGGACTTCAGGAGTTGTTCATAAGTTCGAAATTTTTCTGATGTAGATTGATGCTTAAAATCTGATAGTTAATACAGATAAATAAATTACTCGAATAAATTAACTACTTTAATTAGATTCCTCTCGCTTTAATCAACAACTGCATTTCTACAAGCTATCAGAATACTGTTCAGTGATCATCTTTGACGTGTCAATCATTGTTACGTTTCTTCGTTTACCATTCAAATGATAGAGTATCAAGAAGTGTGAATGTGATATTGAATGGTATGGTGTTGAGTTTCAGAAGTCATATAAGTTCTCTTTACATTTCAGGTGCTCTTTATGGATGAGCAACAGTGAAAATTAAATAAATATTCAGGACTATTCAGTGATGGCCTCCAGTTACTAGATTATTATTTCATTATTATATTATTATTACTCTGTATAAATTTATTCAATAGTTTTATCAGCGTTTGGGATTTATACAATTATTAGGACTTAATAATAACTAGAAGTAGTCATGAAAATATGATTTACGGATAAGTATTATTGATCTGTGATTTTGACGCATCTACACAGATACTTACAAATGTCTTTTATATCCTAACAGATACTTATTATCCAAATTTACAAAATTTATATAAAACGTCTTTGGATGAGAAAGATTTTCTTCTGTATGAAACTAAACAATTACTAGAAAGACAAAGTCAGCGGTTCAATAAGGCTATAACAGGTAAACAACAGTGAATTTAAAATATCACTCTTGAATACATAGTTGAATTAATCTCACTAATTAGTGTTTATTTAATAAGTTTAATTTATTCAATATTGGCTATTTTATGAACATTTTATTTTGAAGACCAAAGTTTTTTCTTTTAGTCTTTTTGAGAGTTAACCCACAGATAAAACATTTTGATTAGTATTAAGTAAAAAAAGGTAATTTCACTAATAATTGTCTATGCAGATAAAAAATTCTTCTACAGAGTTTGAGTAAATACATGAACTTTTGTTATACTTTTCTTGTTTTGTTTGTTTTGCGTTTATTATTTCTTCTATAACTGAGTGTCCCAGACTTGGCCAGTTATACTCCTGACGAGCACTGCTAACTTTGAGCCGATTCATCCAGGGTCCTATTCACCCACCTTCCTCAAAATTTCCTCTATTCCCTTCCTTGAGGCTGGAAATTTGGTAGCTAGCTTCTATTATTAATATTATCATTATTATATTTCAAAAATAAGTATCTTTAAACATATATTTTTTCCTAACGCTTTTTCCACGCAACAATGTAACAGACGAAATCCTTCTCAATAAAACAAACAGAAAGTCAGTCCAAGTGAGGGTTCAGACATAATGTAAGTATATTTTTACTATTTTCCACATTATTGGCTTTGATAAAGTTAAAGCCTGTGAATTAATATGAAAAAATTAACAACGGTCTTATACTCAACGCAATATACAGGATATTTGAACAGAAACCTTGACTAAAATTAGTCGTATTGCTGCTTTATTATGAACTGACTGAATAAACTCTGTCATTGTATTGAAAAGGCTTTATCAATAAATTCGCATCGTTATGAGATCGACAGTCGACAATGATTGTCCATTATCTTTCGGAACGAAAAAAACGAAATACATAATGGCTGATTCAAACATCTTGTTAAGTTCGCTACTTGATAATGCAGAATACAGTTTACGGCTACGACACTCGAACGTTGGACTTCACCGTCGCAAATCAGAAGACAGAAGGAAAGCTGGAGAAGTGTTTGTTTGGTAAGAATCAAAGTGTACAGAAAATCATGGGTATTTAAAGATATTAACATTTGTTAAATCAACATTACATTTTAGCCAATCATGCTACTGACCAATAGTAGCATGTCACGTTGATATTCTAGAAAGCTCCATCATGTTCTGATTGGCTGGAACTCTTCGGCTCCGTTGTATTTCTCGGAAGGCGACTCAACACATCTCATAATATTTAAAATGAGTAATAAAAATGTCTTGTTAATTTTTTTTGAAGTTATCTGTATGACAGATACAGAATGAAATTAAATGTTATATACTATCTAATCCATTTAAATATATAATAGCAATAATGAAAGTTCAGACGATTATTGCATTAGCACTATAAGAGATGGTAACAGATATTATAAAATTCAACGACAGTTACTACTTTTCATCGATATTTCATTTCATTATTCAAAGTTTTCGAATAAAAAACAAAAAAGAATTTATGTATTTTAAACAAATTGACTTTTTGGTATTATAACATACATCAATAAAGTGACCACTAAAAATGAGTAATATTCATGTATCTCATTTATTTATTGATAGTTTGAATATTACGATGTTAAGGTTAGTTGTAATCTGTCGGTTATGATGAATGAGGAGGATCAAATTACAATCAATCATTAAGCATATTGTTATTCAACAAACAGTATGGCTGATCGTTTTCAGTAAAAATGTTATATCTGGTGGTGATGTTCATCACAGTCTGCTATAAATATTGATTAGGATTCAAATAGATTCTTAATGTTCTAGTGAGAATCTGTTACTCATGGTGTCCAACCATGTTAAGGGTAAGATATGAACGTTCACTGATAAGTCAATAATAGTTGTTTAGTATCACAAATCAACTGAAGTTGAAAATTTGGCTAAATAAATTTTGATTTAATTGATTTAAAGCATCATACCCGTATCAAATTATGAGTCATAATCTATATTCTGTGTACGGGTTCGTAAGTATCTACTACAAATCCCCAAATAAAAACAAAACATCTATGAAGAACTAGCTGACTTCTAATGTTTGTCTAGCTATACAGTGTCATCAAAATCCACCATTTGAACTAAATAGTTGGAAATCTTGAAATTTCACAAGGCTGAATGCTTGATTATATTTTTTTTTAGTTATACAATTCCTAACTGGTTATCTAATTATGGTTTAACTGCAAAAAAGCTTCGTTTAACTGATCTCTTAAAATCATTCACAGTTCGCTTACGTCCAACATATATACCAGCATTAAGACATCATGTTGTATCTGAAGTATTAAAACAAACCCTACCAATAGCATATGTGAATAAAAAAAAATCTACAAAATCCCCTGAGATTCATTTATTCAATCCATTGGCAATTAATTTTGAACAATATGAAAAAGATCTAAGAAATGCATTATTCCTAATTGAGAAGTAAGCGCATGGTATGATAGTGTTTCATCTTTCATTAAAGATACATTTTTGTACCAAAATATGAATAAATTTGTTTGAATGTACGTTTATTTAGGTTTTGCATAACTATTCTCGTTTATAAATGACATACCAACGGAACGTTAACAACGTAATATCTGATTGTAAATCATAAATATATTTGGATAATAAGCGACTTAATTTTTAAGACAAATTAACTATTGAGAGGAATTGAAATTGAATCCAAGTCGTAATGCATCGGTTGCCAGTATTTAGGTGGAAAACAAGAGAAGCTTATTTAATGGTTTCCATTGACTGGGGTTGTGATCTATACGTTATAGTGTCCTAAGCCAACGAATTCATACAGTCTTGCAAAAGAGATACGATATCCTCGTGGTGTATTAACTCAACTAAAGTCATTGGATTATTTCCTTTAACCTGATAACTAATACATTTTAAACCTTGAGAGAAATGACATATGTATACAATACAAGAGAATGAAAGGAATTTATTGTTTTATCTTGGTTACAATTTTTTAAAGTAAAAGCAGTTCATATTTTATAATCAAATATTATTTATGCAAGTTTAAGGTTATGGAGATTGTTGAGTTTAAATTGATATCATGAATGAATCCATGCTAGATCGCCATTGAAAACATGGAAGCACAAGACGGCCATTTCGTCCTAGTATGGGATTTCCCAGCAGTGCGCATCCACAATCCTGCACACCAGACTCGAACCCAGGACCTTCAGGCTCGCGCACGAACACTTAACCTCCAGATCACTAAACCGGTGTCAAACGGTGTTAATGTATAACTTCAACCAATACACGATATTGCGCGATCGTCCACCATTGTCTTCAGTGAGTAAATGCCTCACAACAGATACAGTTGAGCTCCGTTGGCCATGGCTTCTCACTAGAACTCCAGGAAATTCATTATTAATTTGTCATTCATATAAGTTAATGTGGTTATTTACGATGCAGCTTTATGTAAAATAGAATAAACTTTCTAAGAATCTTATTAATGAGTTTCTTGTAACCAGCTTTATGAGAAAGTAAAATTTCAGTAAATGTAATTCTATGAACGACTATTAAATAATGACATTTTAGCAAAATAGAAAACTAAGTGGGAAAATAACCAAACTTAATTTTTATACTGAATTTTTAGAAACATTTGTATATAATAGTGTTTCTTTGTTCAATCGAAATTTACAACTATTTTCTAGGTTTTTGATGAATTTTCTTTCTTTTCTCTTATAGAAAAACTAATTGAAATAATATTTGAATATATCGATAATGATTCTTTAAATAATCTGCGTAAAGATGTTAATCTTGATAAGTATACAAAGTGGCGGTCAAAATTATGTTGGTATCAAGATTATGCGAATATATTGAAAACTTTTGAAAAGAATAACTGGCCATTTCCTCAAAATGAATTTAATTTACTAACAAATGAACTTGATATGGTATGTACTGTAGTAAACATTAGTTGAGTTTCTTTGTTTCAAGGCTGTTATTGAAATACCAGGTAGGTATTTTTCACGTACTAGCTTTCATTGGAACGAATAATGACCTAATGAACTCTAACCAGCTTACAAAAAATAAAACAAAAATCAAACAAATCTGATGTGAATACTTTACCTATTAGTTTATTATTATTTAAGCAAACTCAGATTCGGAACGATGATGCTAAAACAAGCTCGTAGATAAAATATTGGATTCTATTGAAATCACGAATCCATCAAAGTTGGACAACTATTGAAAGCCCGTAGCACTGGACAAGCATTTCGTCCTAGTATACAACTCTTCCGTGGTGCGACTCCACGACTCCACAAGCGATCGGACCGAAGACCCTCGGTCTTGCGTGCGAACGATTAACCTCTGGATCACTGAGTTGACATCTAATTTTTTACGAGTGTAACTTCAATCAATCTTGTATTTGATCTTCGCATCCAGGTTTATGTTGGGGACGTTAGATCCCCAGAACTCACTTGGGAAAGGATCTAATTTTATAATTTTATTTAGAAAATTTGGATTTCTTTGTTTTCACGCCAAAGGCTCTCATGTCACCTTACATGTCGTAGTTCCCACTGGGAAATATCTTAAATGCTATTTGTCCGTTGAGTCTTTTAATATGCTATTTGGTAACTCTCCCCAAGGGCGGTTTTGTACTGTATATATATGTTTTGAATTGTGTTTGTTGTTATCGCTCTTTTCTGGCTGTTTGCAGAATATACTTCCCCATTCCAAGCTTGGATTTCATCAATAGCTAGCTTACTGGTCTTTGGTCACCGAGTCTTTTTCCTCGTTCTCAGATTAAGTGAACTCGTGATAGCTTCAACCCTAGCAGTTTATGAATACCGACTGCCGAAGAGACTCATGCTAGGACGAAATAGCCATTCAGTGATTCCAGGTGTTTAATGGTTTTCCTGCCTCAAATTCTGAGCTTCTGAGTCATTCATAACTGTTCTCTTCTGTTTTTCGTTCACTAATTTAAAATTCTTTTCCGAATGGTATGTTCAACACGTAGTCACCGCTGGTACTGTTACTACCTCTTCTATTCTGTGATTTGGCCTGACAATCTATTTTATCTGTGTACTGATGAAACGTTGTACATATGCACCAGGTTCTACGTTGTGACTGAATGACTGAATGAAAATACACTTATTAATTCAGTGATGTTGAGCTCTTCAAGTTGGATGAGAAGCTTTATTGTCATTCTGGACATCTTCTGAGCCTACTTCGTGAAGAAATAGGTTAGAGAACTCGACACCATTAGAAGCATCCACCTTGGAAAATTTAAAAGAAATCAAAATTCGTTGAATTGTCATTAGATATGTTTAACAAATAGTATAAAGTCAATGAAAAATTTTAATAAAAATTCTTATTCACTTTGTAAAGTTTTATAAACAATCCTTCTTCAGTATGATAGTCGTATCAACTGATCAACACACACTACATTCCTTTCAACAAATATGGCATTGTATACAAGTTGTTCTGTAAATTTCGTATACAAACTTTTGACATATTAAAAAAATACTTTTTTTCATTTATCTTCTGCTTTTATAGTCAAGATTTTGAAGTAGATTATGTTTATAGATTATTTCACTTTGAATTTACTGATATTATAAATCATTCAATCATTTGATTTTAAACAGCATTGGACCTGACACAAATGAAGATAAGATCGGGTCTTTAAGGTTTAATAAAATTGATAAGATGACAATGATAGAACTATTAATAACAGTAGGAAAACTGAACGTAAAAAACATAGTACGGCAAGGAAGAATGTTGCCGAGAAATTAAAAATGCATAATAAAAAAAGTTAAGTTTTTGAGAAAGGAGAGTAATTAGTGAAGTCGTTCCATCGAGAGTGAATATGTGCTATGCAATTGGACTAAAATTATCGCTTATGAACTTCAACCTGATAATTTATAATTTATTAAACAGCCCAGTTCAATAAGCAGTGGCTTCATCAGTTCACATCGAGTTATATTTTACCCACCACTAATCGACTTTCCACTGTTAACAACCATTGGATATGGAAATAAACGAGGTCTGATCACGAGTAGTTCACATCTCAGTGGTTTCAGCTGATGAATGCTCTAAATCTCATCAGCTTTTTTATTAATTTTATTTAGTCTCCTAATACTAATTTAAACATTACTCATTTTATGATTTCATCGTTCCAAGACATTTTCAGTTGAACTGTAGTGCTTTTGAATTTTGTAAGACGATACTTCTTAAGCATAAACTAATACAGACCAGATTGCTGAATGGTGTACTCATCTTTTGATGACCGAAAAAACATTTGGCTACAACCAAGATAGATTGTAGAGAATTTGTAATCCACTAATTCATACAGAATGATGAGGCAATATCTTCACGTCTAGAAGTTTACGGATAATTATGACTACAAATATCAAGTTGAATAGCATTAAAACATAATCTTTCATTGGTCATTCCTGATTACTATTATTAGATCCATTTTTGGCAGGTAAGCCTACACTCTTGGGTACTATATGATCTAGCAAACTGCAATGTTACTTTGATGCTTCAGTCGTACATGAATCTGCGATTGCGTCCGGGTAAATAAACATGAAGTCGATAGCTGATTTACATTAACATTTGATCTAGTCGTGTATCAAATAAAACAATCACTTAAATAAATACTCCGATTCAAATGGTGGTTTTATTTGTCCTTTGTTTCCAGCACTAAAAAATAATACAACGTTTCTTTTGTTCTAATTGTATAAGTACGTCTGATCTATTCTTTATTGTTGAAGTAATATGAATTCGATCATTTTAAAAATTCATCTTAATTTAAGATTTATCAATTATATTTCTATACTGAAGTTACTACTAATTATGTAATGACACTTTTAATCGAATTTTAAATGACAGGGACAAAAATATTTGAATGAAGCAAAACATTTGAAAAATTCAAGAAATTCGCATCGATCATATAGATCTTTGAAGCAGATGAACTCGACATTTAGTGATCGTGCACCATGTGGCCATCCTTATAGAATTCATCACTGAAAAATAAATAAAATGTATTATAGTCAGAATATATAAATACATTACACACCTTTTCACCGGCTAACTTTTTAAACAATGTACTCAGTATTATTATTACAACTATTATTTTAATGTTGATGATCCAGTTTGTGAAATCCGTCCTGTTTCAAATTAAGATTCAGTTTATGAAATAGATCATGTAAACAAGCTAATTGCGTAGATCAGTTTTCTTACTCATGATTTGTCTTTTATATATTGTATGAATTTTATATTTGTTAGTTTCTCAACTGTTTTGTTTTCGCCAATATACTGGATTATTTTATTTTGTTATATAGATTTAAATGAATTATTTTATTATTATTGTTGATTTTTTAATTAGTTTTGTGAAGATATGTTAAATTTATAGGTTGTATTTATTACTAATTGATCTCAGTTGGGGTAGCATTGAAAATTTATGGGCACTAGACAGTTGTTTCGATTTGGTATGTGTACTTCTTAGTAGTCCAGGATTCTATCCTTAATAGAGCCATAGGTCCTCACAAGATGAAGAGTACCATACTAGGGTAGTAAAGTATTTAGTTATAATCTCACGTACCATTACATCCTTACTATCCATAGTTCAACATTCCAGGACCTTAAAATGATATTTTATTATTGATATCCACATTGATTATCGTCATTATTTCATGCAATCTTATTTAAAGGCCGGACCATACCAATCACTTCATGATAATAAAGTTATGATAACATTTATTATGACTGTTATATTCTAACGAAGATTAAATTATGGGTAACATCAGGAAACTATTTATGGACCGTCATTATATATATTCTTACTGCATAAGTGTTAAGTAACTGGATTATATACATTCATATTCCCTTTGTCATGTACTTACATTTGATTTATTGGCTGCAGTTATACGATTTACCATTCTTGATATATTCCCTATCTATTAGTTACAGTTTCTCACTATCACAGCCACTTTTGGCTTGATCCTATATGATGCGGTTCGATTTACTCGTATATAAACTGTGTATATCTGAAACACTTGTTTCATACAGTGGGAGCTGAGATTTATATTCTGGACTCAAATGGCCCGGAGTAGACGAGAAGAACTAATAAGGACTAATAGTTGACTCTAGACTTCTCGTACCGTTTTTATGCGTCATTAATTTGACACAGTGTCAAGGTCATATAAGTCTTGTTCTGATTGGCGATTTAGTCGCCTGATAATTAACAAGATAAAACTCATGACAATGACTACTCTCTTTACTTGAAAAAAGCCACCAATCAAGGTTGTAAGATAGAGGCATTCAAGATCAAACTTTGTACTAGACCATAAAGCAATCGATTATTAAATTGAGCTGTATCACTAGGCGTGGATCACCTGGTTGCTATATGCACAGTTATTACTACCAGCGATTGAAAATCTTGTTTGAATTGACTCACATTCGGACACGATTCAACAGATGCATCCAATCTATATTTTCTTTTAAATCCTCAGCCTAAAAACCAATCCATCTTTTTAGTTTGCCATTCCTTATTCAATCCTGAATCATATTCTCCATTTCTAATCTTTTCTTCTAACAATGATACTTTTACTATCTACACTACCTTACTATTCGTCTTTATTATTTAATTAAATCAGTTATCTAGTGGATAATTAGTTAATCCAAAGATAAATTACAAATTAAGCAAGAACTCGATATTTGTACTAGTTGTTTGTATCGATCGAAGAACTTAAATAACCA